AAGGGATGAGATAGATTTGCACTGAGAATCCAGGTAGCTGATGGGCACAGTAAACTAGAAAAAAACAGTCCCATTCACTGTAGTGCAGGAAGATCATCCACAGTGAATCAAATGAAGCAATTTGGATTCAGTCTAATTTCTTAGCTTTGTTAGAAGAAAGAAGTTTTGGTGTGGTGTTGCGTAGGTGATTATTGATAATCCTAAGTACTATATGTTTTTAAAAGCTAGAAGAAAAGATTTTGATGCTTTATCCAAAAGAAGTGACAGATGTTTGAGGATATAGGTGTGTTTAAGCCAATTTAAACATTATATATTATATACATATATCAAAACATTCCATGGTACTCCATAAATATGTATAATTTTATGTTACTCTTTGTTCATGCGATGGGTAGAGGCTGATTACTATAATGCTGGCTGATTGATGTGTACCTTGATAATTTTGATTACACACATTTAGTGGTATGAACTGCAGTTGAATTTCTCTGTAGTATGAAAAAGAGGAATTTTAAGGTCCGAGGAAAAATTCAGAAGAAAACAGAAACCAATGAATATGATATGAGAAAAGTGATGGCCACTCATACACCTTTGAAGCAAAGTGATATTCAAAGGAAATTTCAGGTTGTTTGCCTTGTGTATAAACTCTCTCCTCTGATTCTTGTTTGATGTCTTCAGGAAATCTTATATTTCTCACTTTTGCTTCTGTATGAGTGCATTCTTTGAGGGACCTAGAAACATAGGACCAGTGGCAATTGATATATAATTTACATATATAACACAAGATTGTATTCTTACAGAAAAGAAATTAAATGGCCAGACTGGCAGTCTACCAAACAGTCTTCGAAAGCCAAGAAAAATATCAATAGTAGTCAAAATCAAATCAAATCTGGGGCATCTAACATGAAGAAATTTCAGTTATTTGCGTAGGGAAGATTTGAGTACAGTACATTGAAAACAAAACTTCTATTATTTAAAGTGTGGACACTAATGACCAAAACTATCTACTACTATACATCTTCCTTTCCTGATTACTATGACCTTATTTTACAGTCTTAGCACAATGTTGCTTTTCAAGAAGACTGTTGACCTATCAAATAGCTTATCATTCAGTTTAGGAATTTCCAAAACCCCATCAGATTTTCAAGAGAAACTACCAACAGCTTATTTCTTTTGATTTTTTGAAACAATCAAAGTTCTTACTTGACAATTTCGCTGAGTTCTAAACTATCAAATCATGACGCTTACCAAATTCTAACCAAACTCTCATATTGAAAGACCTGCTTTTTACCAAATTTCTAATTCTTAACAAAATCTGATTCTGCCTTTTTGCTCTGGACAGGAGACACTACCAAAACACTGTTTAGGGAACATCCTCCCTTGTTTCTGCCTGCAGTAAATAGTTGGTGTTGTGAATAGGTTGTATTGATGATATTTGATGAAGTGACATTCAACAGTATCAAAAAGTAGAGAACCAGTGTATCTATCATAAGGTTGTAACATGGAAAGGATAGCAACCTCAAATGAGTAATTTGAGGAGAATTTAATGAAAATACTTAAAATGTGGAGAGAATTATTGAAGCTATTTTTAGTGATAGCGCTAAAGCAGTAGAGAAAGTGCAGACTATAGTCTCTCATTGCTATAGAAATTCTAGAAAATTTCTCTGACTATGTGCTAATTCTTGCAGGGTCTTCTATTTTATGAGCACTGTGATGAGTTCAATTACATATATTTTAGAAGTGGGAGCTGCAGCTAAATTTTTATGTACAGTAAAGAAGAATTTCAAAGTACAGAGCAATCGATACCAGAGCGGAGGCAGAGGGGGTGTGGGAACACATACGTTATGTAGGAAAAAAAGTGCTGTAAGATCTACGAATGATTTTTAAAATAAGAAGGGAATTCTTGGATCATATCTGAAATTGAGACTCAATCTTTAAACTAAGGGGTGAAACTACAATAGAGAAGATATTTGTGAATGTTTAGATGCAGGACACTGTACAAACGGTCCACACCCAATCAGTGAGAACACAGGGGATAGAGAGGTCCTAGATGCAAACAAGAGGGAAATAAGTTAGGGTAATAAATAGCAGAAATAGTGAGGTAATTTAATGTCTACACATTCCCCACTGTGAATTCCAGCATAGCTCAAGCAGTGATTGTGCCTACCTTCAGCCCAGAAAAAAATGTGTTATGTGAAAATGTCAGAGATTTAAGATAGAAGACAGCCTGATGTGATACGGAATATTCCTCACAGAACAAGTTGCTTATTGCAACTCAAAGAATTCTTATACTAAGTAAAGCAAAAATTATAGAGAGCACTTCACTACCTGACTGTGTAGAATGCTCATTTGAAGGCAGCCGTCAGGTGATTAGCGAATGAGTTCAAGAGTGAGTATCTGTTATGTGTTATGGTTTGGATCTTACATGCCCCAAAGGCTCATGTGGAATGCTTAGTCCCCAACTGGTGGAACTACTGGAGAACTTTTAGAAGGTGGGGACTGGTCAGAGCAAGTTGTATCACTGGGAGTATGACCTTGACATGTCTATTGGGATTCTGCCTCCTTCCTGTCTGTCTTTGCTTGCCTGCCCCTGTGGTGGAAGGGGCAGCATTGTTTTACCACACGCTCTCTCCACCAGGATGTTTTGCCTTGCCACAGGTCCAAAGTGACGAGGACCAAGCAACCACGGAGTGAAAACTCTGAAACCATGAGCCAAAATTGATCTTTTCTCCTTTGAAGCTGCTTATTCTCAGGTATTTTGTCACAGCAGCAGAAAGCTAACACAGTACTCCGTCAGAAATTCACAAAGTATTTGGGGAAATCCACATTATAAAAGAAAGAAAACGAACTCGGAAAATATGAATATGTGTTTGAGAAAACATTTGATCTACAAATTAGGTAAAAACTTTATATAAAGTAACATTCCTAGTGGAATAAAAATGAGAATTTTTAAAATAAATGAACCACTTAGCTGTTTTAAATTGAAAAATGAAATTGTTGAAATTAGAGAAAAGGCTAAAAAGAGGCTAAAGAATAAGAAGGACTCAAACAAGAGGTAAATGAATTGTTGAGCTAAATGATAACATTAAAGAATTCTCTCAGTATATAGCTAAAAGAGATGAGAAGGTAAAAAGTATAAATGAAAAGTTGAAGCATAAAATGTTTATCTGAAAGGGATGGCAACAGGATACAGAAAGGCAATAAAATATTTGAAAGAATCATATCTGAGAATTTCTGAGCATTGAAGAAATATATAATTCTTAAATTTGTAATTGTTAAACATGGAAGAAAATTTAAAATATACATGGAAAAAATGTTATAAAAATAAAGATAAAGAGAAAAATGTAAAAGCAACCAGAAACAACATTGGATTAATGATACAAATTGTGAGAATCACTTTAGATTTAAACTCTCCCCCCACTAGTGGTTACTGGACACAAAGAACCAGTTTCCTCTGTAATTTAAAGGTAGAATTTACTTCCCATAGAAGTTCCCTGAAAAAAGTCATTAAATGTTTCACATAGCAAGTACAAAAATAAATCATATTAGGAGCAATTAGTACAAAAACAATGATGAAAAAATAATGAAATATATATTTTAAAAATATTTTTCAAAAATATACTAAATTCTGGAATATATAAACACCACAATTGATAAGGAGAAGGAGGAATAGGAATGAAAAGATATGAACATTAGAACAATATGTGTAATACTGGGTTTATTCTTTCAGAAGTCTAATATAAGAAGAGTATTCTCCAAGGAGGTATTTTAAGGGTATTTGAACCATAAGAGGATAATAAGGCACTATATGGTAGTACATGTGAATGTAAAAATTTAAGATTCCAGATGCTAGGTACTTGCTACCAAACAGGAAGGAGGACTGGAAATCTTAGACATTGACCAAACAGGCAAGAATGAAAATTATCAGGAAAAAACAGGGCATTTAAGTTGCATTCATTGTTCAAATGTTGAGCATGTTCACATGTTGTTGTGTGGGTGACCACACAGTAAGGGATTTAATTATAATCCTTCCACACACATTTGCAGCTGATTTCAAGCCCTAACCTATGCCAGCTGTCTCATTCTGAATAAATGACACCTCTACCCCAAGAACTGCTCCCGTGTCATTCCATCAGCTTGTCTGTAGGATACAAAATAAGACACTCACTACTGTCTTTTCATAAAGACATTCTTTGTATCAAAATCTGTCCTTTTCTTTCCTTTTTTTTAAGGTGAAGCTCACTCAGTTTTGGTGTGAGTGTTCTTTCTAAGCTGATTTATTTTGTGAATAATATGCAAACTGCAAATGCCTATTAGTTGGTATCTTTTAACAACTTTAACTGTTAGAATCTTAGATCTAGATGAATATCGATGGATACTAAATGTACTAATGCTTTCTGTGTTTTAAATTATTATGCTTAATTTATATTTTCAATGCTAACCTACCTTTCATTGTCAGTTGTCACTGACTAGGTATAATGCTGGTTTAATAACAAATATTCAATAGCAAGAGAAATACTCTTTCACTAAAAATACATACTTGTTTAGAGATACTTCCTCATTCAAAAATGTTACAATGAGAGAAAGGATTGTTACATATAATCAAACATATTTATCTTAATCTTTTTAGATTATACATATTTTGGTAAACCAACACAAATTGTTCGAAGTAGAACACAAATTTAATCAAATAAAAAACCCTACAGTTAGCTATGAACTGAAGAGAAAGCGCCTTAGCAAGCAGTTGTGTTTTCTTGAAGGTAACTGGCCAAGGATCCCTTTCTTAGTGGGTGACAAAGAGTTGATTATTCCAAACATATCTTTCACATAAAATTGTCTGTGGTCACATTGCCAGTTTCAATCAACACAGCCCGTGTTCTGGAGACAAAAGGGAGGGAGCCTGGTTAGGATTCAGTAAACTGCTGCCTTTGCTGCGGCTCAGGGATAGCTGCTGCTTATCTACTCACTGGATCCTTCTGTAATGTTGCTGGTGAAGGAGCTCCCTCCTGCTGAGTTGCATCTTTTCCCGTCCTTGAGTTGCTGCCTCCTCCTGGCCCACTGGTCTATTGCGTCTTCCTGGGAACCATCGCTGGCTCTTCCACCTGTTAGAGCCAATTCCTGGGACAGCTTTCGGAGGTTAATGATTTCCAAATTCTGATCTAGATTAAATCACATTAAGTATATGAAGATAGAGTAGGAAATGCTTCACTCAAAACAGAAATCACAGATCAGAAAATAACTGTATTCAATGTATTCATGATTTACTTGCTAAACTTGCGTTTATTTAGAGAAAGATTAAGTTTGCACTATTGAGAAGGAGAGAGAGAAAATGGAGGCAGTTTAGCTAAAATAGATTTATACGGGACAAGCAGGCATCACCAAGGTGGGTTCCTTCGGGTGGGTTCCATTCAACGGTATTCCTTGGGTATCAGCAGTGGGCCTGTTACTACATTAGTTACTGGAAAGGGACAGAGTACCTGTAAATTGTTAAATATATACGCTGAATTCTAGATAAGAAGTTATTACTTCACTAAATTCAATTACAACCCAGGATAATGAGTTTTCTATTGAACTCTAGTACATATGGTTTGAATTCTAATGATTGTAGGTACACAAATCATATGATACTTTTGTTCTTGCATATGTTGATTTGAAACAGTGAAAAGAAAAATGGAACAATACATGAAGATTTTGCTAATTTTATATTTGAGTCAGTAATGACTTGAAACACTTTATATAGGTGTGAACTGTTTCCTCTGCTGTCACAAGAGATAGTACAGTGTATTGTTACAAGAAACAAAGTTAAAAATAAATGACTGCCCTGCAAACAAACCTTAAAAATGGTTGAAATAAAAATAAAAAGAAAACTCCAATAGGAGAACATATAATATTTAACTTGTCATTTGATAGACCCGAATTGGTTAAAATTTTACTTAAATTTATAAGTAAAGATTTAAAAAGAGGTCAACTCTTGACCTTTAGCTTTATTCTATTTCTAGTAGCAAATGAGCTTTTACAATTTGATTTTTTGTAAAAATCAAATTCATGTTTATCAAGATTTATTCTGAAAACTACATAAGTGGGTATATCTTTGATAAATTACATTCTTAATTTTTGTATATAATTACTGGTAAACTATTTGTATAGCAATTTAAATTCACTTCTTGGAGCTAAATGCGTGGCAAAGGGGAAGAATTGTTCCCCAGGTCCTCTAACTTCATTCTGTTTTCTTTAACTCTGTTTCTAATTCTTACCTATTTCTTGGGAAATAAAAGGATAACAGCAAATCAACATCTATGCTATAATATTTAGTACTTGCTCTCATCATTCCAACTTCCATTGTGCTGGTAATTGGAGCTATGATGTTCAACAAGATACTTTTGCTTTATGAAATTTTACAAAGCAGTGGAACTTTTAAAAAATGCAATAGCACTGATCTCTGGCTATTTTTTCCAAAATTTGTTCTATTTTTTTCCTTTGTTGAGATTGAGTGTCTCGGTTGACCATGAAGGCATTCACGAGAAGGATGACTTTTCCATTGTCAAATATTTCACATTAAATGACAATTATCTTCAGAAACTACTGGAATGAAGGAGCTCTGTGAGCCTGGGGAATTGTGTCACACCAAAAGTGGCCATGAGGTCTTGTGGAGAAAGTTTTACTTTGGAATGTTCTTATATACTTAAGTTAAGAGTAAGTATATGCCTTATAATATGCTTTGAACTGTAACTTGAGAATTGCTGAACTGCCCACCCAAGTACACATCCTCACCACTCCTGTTCTGTTTGGAATTTGTGAGATCCCGAGGTTGCAAAGAAAATAGACACAATTTGGTCTAACCACTCCCTATATGCTTAAAACACTGCTACAAAATTTCTACCAAGAAGTGATTCAATCTAACCTTGAAAATTTCCCACACTCCAATTTACTGCTGATAAGTTAGCCTGATTCTTGTACCTCAGCTTGACAGGAAGTTTTGTGTAATGCATTCAGCCTATATCTCAATGATGTTCACTTGCAGATCAGCCCTTCAGGAGATGTTTATTGAGCCTTTTGGGGAATCAGGCAATTTCCTAGGGCTGGAATGAAGGCACTCCAGTCTCTTGAAGGACTCTGCTAAAATATACACTATCACTTTATTGAGACACTGTGTTAATTCATTAAAATATAAATAAATAAATAATAACAAAAAATAAAGACATTTTACCAAGGGCTTTATTTTTAATATATGTGCCCTTCCAAAATACATAGGTTGCAACCTAAGATGAAATACGATGCTATTAGGAGGTGGTGCTTTTAGGCAGTAAGTTAGTCTTAGGTGCCTTGACCTCATGAATGGGACTAACATCTTTTGAAAGCCCTGGAGGGGACCAGGTAATTGGGTCTGCTCCTCTGCCTTTGGCCATGGGAGAACATAGCCACAAACTGCCATCTTGCAAGGAGACTCATCAGCCATCTTGATCTTGAATGTCTCAGCCTCCAGAAACATAAGAAACAAGTTTGTTCTCATTAGAAAATTACCCAGTCATTGATATTTTGTTATACAGCAGCACGAGTGACCGAGACTCCGAGCGTAAGCGTGAGAGCGGAAGGCTGCCACATTCGAAGCCAGGGGAAGCAGAGGAAGGGAGTGAGAAGACCAAGAAGAGGCAGATCTGGAAGGACCTTACTGGAGCAAAGCACAGTCACTGCTTGGTCTGGGGCCTTGATCGTGTGCGTGTACCAAGAAATGCATGTGAACAGAAAGTTCCCAGTTTACCATACGTCAGCTTGTTGGAAACGGTCTAACAGTCATATTCTCCTGTGAGAAAAGGACCAAGTTTCTGCTCATCTTTTTACTCCTAGTGCTTGGTGCAAAGCTTGCAATCCCAAACTTCTTCATATTTCTATTCCTTCCTATCTTGGTAGTATGGTTTCTTAGAATCACTCCTTTTTTTTTATAGATTTAGGGGAATAAAATACCTTATACATTGCATGGAAATTTTGTGTCATGTAAAAGGCTAGTTTATTGTAGGTAAATCTGTGCCATATAAAATATCACCTAATCCTTCTCATTATCTGTCATTTTCTCGGGGTGGCCTACTTTTGGTTTCCTCATTAAAATTTTTTATGATATAGATTTTCTAACTCTTTGGCGTAGGTCTCACAGACGTATTTCAGTCCACTTACAACTGAAGGCATCAATCCCTGTGCAAACAACTTTTTTCCCCCAAAACACATAACCTTACCTGGAGAGGAAGAACTCAGTATTGAGTTCTTCAGGGTTCAGACTGGCATCTGCCACGCCTCACTGGCTCTGTTGCTTTCCATCATACACACACACTCATCTCTTCTCAATATCTAGTTTAGAGGTCACACATCGTTTAGAATGCACTGTGTCTTTTAAATTTTATAATCTGGAGATTCATAAATTTTAAAAATCCAGGTATCCAGGTGTTCTAAAAAGTCAGAAGACCTGGCTGAGCTGGACTGCCTGCCATCCCTTCACAACACACTCTCTAGTTCACAGTACATTTATTTCCACAGGCAGCCTGCTTGACTCACTGACAGTAGACGGCCCAGACTGTGACCTCTAACCTAGTTAAATCCTAAATGTACACACTTGGTGGAAGGCACTATGCAATTATGAGATTCAGCAGTCTTGTCTAAGATTCCTAATCTAAGGTACACGGATAGATTATGAAGACTAGGAGAACCCCTTGGGAAAGGTGAGCATAAATTTGTACCTATATCAAATTTATAATTGCTGGTCAAATGGTCCAAAGGTGTGCAAGTTTTTCAAAGCAATCTGTGCTCTTAAAAGTTGATGCCATCCAGACATGAATATCAATACTATAGTGACAATAATACTGAATAAAGTCTACAAATACTCATGGCTCTCAAAGAGTCAAATCTGTGCAACAATTTATAGATTTACACATTTAAATGTCTGTTCTGCAACATTTTAATTGCTGACTGTTTTCATGTGTGTTGGTATGTGAACAGGGCAAAACACAAACCTGACATGACTTCCCTGCTATCATTCAACAAATATCCACTGAGCATCTACATTACAAGACAGGATTGTTTAGTGCTGTAGATGCAATAGTGATAAAAACAGAAACAGTTCATACCCTCATGAAGCCTACATCCTATTGAGAGAATACAACATAAAAACCAGTGATTCATAGCGTATATAAAAGGCAGCAAATGGGAAAGGGATAGTTTATCTGGACTGCAACAAGGACAGCTTAGATTTATTTTTTTTTCATTTGAGCAGGCCCTATTGAGTGTGCTACATGAGCAAAAATTAAAAAGAACACAAACCTGTGAACATTTAGGGAATACCTGGCACAGATAGTGGAGCCCATGAAAGGGGTCTGAGACAGAATGTTGGCTGAAAGAGTATAAGACTTCGATAGGTCAGTGTGGCTGGACATACAGAAGCAAGGGCAAGAGGATTAAAGGGTCAAGAGGGACAGTTTTAGTAGCAGTCTTTTAATGAACCAGAGAAACACAAAGGACAAGTGGCTGAAAGTGTTTCACAAATGGGACAGTTTCAAAATTTACTGAAGTGTAATCTCAGCTGTGGTTGGATTCTGGTTTGAATGATTAGTTTTCATGAGGAAATGTGTCTTGTTGGGAAAGTCAAGCCAGCATGCCTTGGTGGTAGGAGAGCCATCCTGAGAAAGACGCTCAATCGGGTAAGTAGCCATGGCCTGTAGCAAATGTTGGGGTTAAAGTCACTGATGCTGGGGCTGGGGATTTAGCTCATCAGCAAAGCGCCTGCCTGGCAAGCGCAAGGTCGTGAATTCAGTTCCTGGTACCGGAGAAAAACCAAAAATAAATAAATAAATAAATAAAGTCACTGATGGTGATATTTGCAGTATGTCAGCACCAGGAAGAGGTCTCTCTGATGAATGCTCTTCACTTTCATGTGTTCATGGGAAGCAGGTGACTGCATAGTTTTTGCACTGTTTTAGGGGCATTTACTTTTAATAAAGCAACTTTCACATTTTACATCAATATTTATGTAATAGATTAAGTTGCCTTTATTTCTTTTACATTTTAAATAAATGTTGAGAAATTAGTTTTTGCTCTTCTAAATTTTTTCATTAAAAAGTTAGTGCTAAAACAGCAAAGAAGAGAGAGCTTCCCTGTTAAGTTTTGTCACATCAAATTTCATTTATGAGGATTTTGGGAAAGTTCCTGGCACTAGGGCAGAGACATTCTTACTCATCCAAGATGCATTTTAATTCACAATATGAGACAATGCTACCATTAAATCCAAAATAACTCAGACTCATTGAGAAAAACAAGGGCGTTGTATGAAGTGAGTGAAATGATACTATGTTAATTCAACGCGGAAAAACAGACACAGTATTCTGCACTTAGAAAAGAGTTTCCATCCTAATGTTCTTCAGTCTGGAGAGCTTCTGGGTTCTATCAATGGTTTGAGCAGGACCAACCAATGCACAAGGGAGGTCAGAGGTCTACTAGAGGTCAAAGGCCCTGTAGATGGCTCAGTCAGGATTAGCCATGGTTGTTTCTGGTTTTTGTCCTTTGTTACAATTACTATTCCACATAGCCTCCTGGGACATGCATAACCATGTTTCCGCAATGCCACAGCAAGGCTTAAAAACACATTTTATTACAAACATATTCTTCCCATTCTCTGAAACATGCTTAGCTTGCAAGGAGGGAAAAAATGGTGGATTATTTAAGAGTGCCAAAAGGCTAACATTTCCTACAAAATTGATTTGGCAATATATCAACCTTTTAAAGAGAAATTGATTTTTTTGACTTTATTTTAAACTGCAGCCTTGGTGATTTTGCTATGTACTATTTATGGGGGAAATGGGTGATAATGTATAGAAGCAGGCTGATATATTCTTGCTCATATTCATCTAATTCTAAAATGCTCAATATATCTTTAGCAATAAAGAAAAAAATCCCAAGCAGTAAAAAAGTCCTTACCTTAAGACTTTCCAAGGCTCAAACATAAAAAAATATTGCAGGTTAAACATTCTCTATAGCCCACCATACCTTTCAAAGTCCCTCTGCTTTGAGAAGACAGCAAAATATCTATTTGGTGATAGTAATTATCCTTTGAGTCATATTTGTTCTCACCTCCTTCAGAATTTGGTCTTCTTGGTGCAGTCTTTTGGTATTCTTCTGGCTCCTGTGGAGAACTAGTTAGTTCAGGGCTCTTTTCATCTTGGTTTCCATATTGGTCTGCATCCCTGGGTAGAATTTTCTCAATAAAAAACAGCTCATCTGTAGCAGACACTGTGGAGTTAGACTCAGCAATGTTTAATGGAAGATCCATTTGAAAACAGACTTTATTATGAGTCTCATTGGAGAGGTGTTCAGAATCTCTGGAACATGCATTCTTTACCACTGATATTATGTGAAACTTGTTGTTTTCATCTTTTCCAGCACAATCAGGTGATTCTTTAGGGGTTCTCATTCCCAGAGAACAATTAGAATCAACCGTATGTTCTTTATCATTTTGAGTAGTTAATTTTCTCTCTAGTTCATCTGTTATGGAAATCATGACTGGCCCTTTTGTTTGGCTGAGGGCTGCCATCTCTGGATGATTTGCCTGGACCACCAACTGGTCCACCTGTTCAGGTCTGTGAGTAATACTATGTTTCAGATTCCCAGCATCTAGGCTGTTGCAAGATACAGGTCTGAGCGCTGGACTCTGAGCACTCTTCCTTTCCACTAATTGCTGTGCGTTTTCATATGAGTCACCATGTAAAATGACTTTGCTAGTGTCTCCGTCAGTCACGTCACTATTGTCTTTCTCACGGCCTATCACAAACTCAGCACAGTGGTTAAAAGAAAATGTATTTCCTGAGGTCTCTTTAGTTTCTAAATGTCTGGTGGCCCAGTGAGATGGACTAAATGAGGTAGAAGGCTTCAGACCACCTTGGCTGGAAGGGAATGATGAAACACGTGAGATCTCATGGTCTTCTGCAGGTGGACTTCTGCTGACTTTGCAGGCAGCATCAGCTGCCTTTTCTCCTAAGTGCTGCGTGCTTAGAGAAGACAAAGAACAAAAGTCAGACTCTGAGCCTTCTTGAGTGGGAACAGTGTCAGTAATGGTACTTAGCAAATGATTTCCTTCTGTGCTTTGCTGTATGTTTGAGTCTGCTGTGATAGTTCCTGAGACGTCAAACTTGGTCTTTATCTCTCTGTTTCCATCCTTCAGATCTTCAGAAGACATCTTACTTACATCTGCATTACTTAAACTTGTGGTCTGTAGGGTATCACATGAAGTAGGACAAATGTTTATGTGAAGAGGGTCGGTTGCAGAAAACTGTGATCTCTGGGGAGAGTGCTGACTAATTTTAAAGACTTTCCGCTGTGAGATGGCAGATTCTCCCCCAGAACCATCTGAGCCCAAAGACAGTGAGTTGGGCTTATTTTTTTCTCTCTTAAGAATTGATGTGTGAGAAGCCACAGCTATGTTAGCATTCTCCTTTTGAGCAGTGAACACATTAGGAAGAGAGACATGCAGACAATCTGCATTTTGGTGCTGATTCTCAAAGGGCCACTTTCCAGGGTGCTTACCACTAGAATGGGCAGGGGGCCTGGAAGATTCTTCGGAGATGTGATTGGAGGAAATGTTTGTATATTTATTTATCTTTCCTCTTCTTTTAGGATGAGTTATGTTAACTAATATATTCTGTTTCTTACTTACGTATTTAACTTTAATTTCTTTTCCTACAATGCTTACTTTCAGTGAGGGGCTTTCAGTTTTGGCAAGTTCTCCCCTATATTTGAATGGCACTTCAGATTTTAATTCTTCTGCCAATTTATTATTGTGTTTAGGAAAGCATCTTTTAGCTGTGCAGCATTTCCAGATGTGCCTGACGGGAAACAACTGGTGACATGCTGGACATCTCTTCATTGAGAACTGTGTACCTGTTTTACAGAAAATGTTTTTCTTGATTTGTATTTGTACATTGAAAGCCCCACATTTCACTTCTGTCATAAATTTAGCCTTTCCTGGTTTAAAGCCTTCCACCATGCTTGGGAAATCTTGTACTGTAATTTTTTCTGATGATGGTTCTCCACAGTTATTAAATATGACCACTGGTAAGACTTCCTTTAGCTGATGAGAGATGGCCAGAGGATCACCATTTTCCTTCCCCCTATGTGTTTTGCTGTCAGATGGAGACTGTTTCTCAGCTTTTGGAAGAAAAGAGGAGTTCTGCTTTCCATTCACAGAAGCAGACATCTGTTCACCTACATTTTCTTTAGATTTCCCTAATGCCCCAGTCTGGTGCAACACAGCCTCTGAGGTGTCTCCTTTGACTTCCTTTTCAATGTCTTTTATATTTTGTTGGCACGCATGACCAGAAGGCTGAGATGTACCTAGAGAGGAAGCAAAAAAAAAAAAAATCTATATCTCTTAGAGAGCAGATGTTCCAAATTCAAAGATGAAATGTAATATTCTCTGTAAGTATTTTAGGCAATAATTTTTCAGTCATTTCTAGTATGTTAAGATGTTTTCTCCCAAAGTTCATTTCTAATAAGTATCTTATTCAAAATTATTAATTCTTTTAGAGTGAAGGGTAACATATAGCTTTAGGAAATAAAGATTTAATTAAGCTTTAGTAAAAACAACAACTTCCAAAAGTAGGTGAAATAAAAATTTCAAATGACATCTAAGCAAGTAAATTTTAAATGCAACTTCATGACAAAGATCAAGTTGCCCTGATTAGGTATTTGAACATGGTGTTACACTACAAGCTATGTGGAACCCTATATAATTTGAGATATTAACACCAAAAAAGAAGAGATTAAACAAGATGGAAAGAATGGAAATAACTTCTGGACAGCCTTTTAAGCATCCTTTGGCTCAAGCTTCTTACAGGACAGTGTCATGAATGTAAATGCCTGTGAATCCAGGCAAATCACATCAACAGGTGATGCAGCTGGTTTATACATTCTCCACCATTCAGTTTCAACCAAGTTGTCATGTAAGAAGAGAACCTAATGCTGCCAGGTCCTTTTATTTTCCAAGACGGAGTTAGAATGTGGCTCTAGAACTAATGTCCAGAATTAGAGTCTGCAATTCTCTACTTTTAAAGTATTTGCTCAAGTTTCTAAAACTCCATTTTGGTGAAGGGGCAATGTATGGAAGGGCCAGTTTTGGCCCAGGGATCATTTCTTTGTAGCCTGCCCTCTTTTGGTTTATAAAGTTGAAGTATTTTACTGGGAGAAAGTTAAGCCTGAGCATGAGGCATCAGATTTTGCAGAAAATAGACAAAGAGCTCAGATTCTATTTTGAATTACATCTGAAAGAGATTATTTGGTAAGAAAAAGGAAGATTGAGTGAAGAAGTTATTAATAATGTTCTGGAAATTGATAAACCAGAAGTCCAAATGTATATTTTTAATAAGATGATGATGCTAAAAACAAGAAATATTTATTTATAAGGTCTACCTAAACATGGTATTGATTGAACATGAATTTTATATATGCCTATGTATTTTATAAAATTGTATTGTATTTTATTTTATATGTATTTTACAAAATTGTATAAATAAATACAAAGAGTAAATGAATAAATTTTCCTTAACACAAAAAAGAAAAAACAAGTCTATTGAACTTACTTAAAGAATATGACTGTTCCTATTTGTCTCTTTTCTAGCTCAAAGGAAGGGCACCTCTCTTGGAAGGAACTGAAATAGTTTCCAGTGGGTTTGGTTACAGTCTGAGAGCTGTAATGCAGAAGTCGTGGGAGAAAAGATATAGAGACATATCTCTCCAGTGCTCATTAATAATAAAGTGTGGACTTGATAACAGTGTACATATACTGATGGACTGCCTTCTGGAAGAGATTACATTTTATTCTTAAAATAACACCTTCCTGCCAAGAGCAGTTCAGTTTATAGTCCCTTCCAATTTTATAATTTTACATTTTATAGTTCCGTTCAATTGACTACTCTGTAATATCTGCAAGGGAGAAGACAGAACTTTAATGCACTGATGACAGATTCTGAGAAGGGGGCTCTTAATAGTCCATGTCTGAATAAATTTTTTTATTTAAATTGTTACTATTTATTTTATAAAGCTTTTATAATTAATGCAGAAGTGTACACATAATAACAATAAGTCAAACTTCCAAATCCTTGTATGTATTTTGTGTGTGTACACATAAGAACAATAGGTCAAACTTCTAAATCATATGTATTTGTATATATTCATCTTCCTAATTTTATAGGCACCTCTATGATAAAGAATAAAGTAGACTTGGAAGTAGTTTAAAAAGTATTAAATTGGACTTACATACTGTAGTATTCAAGGTTTTCCATTTTTTATAAGCTTTTCTTCTTTTCCTCCTCATTTTGGGGAGCTGTGGGTCTTCAGTTTTTACTACCCTTTGAAAGCATCAAATTTAAAGTTATTTTCTATTCATATTTTATATTTAATCAAATTACTTCCTCAACTCATTTGGCAATAATTTAGCTTAGGATATTTACCTGGTTTCTCCATAGGATTCGCATAATTTTATTGTCAAAATTATATTTTCTTTTCCCCTTAGTTTCTATTCTATTTAGTGCATTGCTACATACCATACGAACATTCAAATATTATACATAGGTATACATATATATGTATATGCACACACATTCGTAGCCTCTTAGGATGTAAGTTGTAACATTGGGTTAATTGATTCTATTTTATGTTCCATTTTTCTTATCCAAATATAAACATGTAAGTTTTGTGAAGTTAACCTAAGTAGCCTTGCTAAATTACATTCTTCATTACACTATCATCATTCACACTATATTTAAATATTATCAGATTGATTTCACACATTGGTAAAGTTGGCAACCCTTTCTAAAAGACTAATCTTTGCCTGAATTGTCATATAAAGTGTTGTATTTCCTGATGTCTTATGTAATGGAAAGTGATAGAGAAGATAACTGGGAAAAAGCAGTCCTCTTACTTGCTAGCTATTACCTCCGGTAGGCACCTGCCTGTGCTTAGAGCTACTTCTTATTCTATTTGCTTTGCTAGATTAAAAGGATTAATCTATCTCCAAATATGCAAGGGAAACAGCTTTTCACAGAAGCAGTTTCCTTTGACTGTATTTGGGCAGACTGTGCCTTTGGATACCTTGAAGGTGAGAAGCTTGATTAATATTTGTTTTATGAGAAATTTAAAATGGGACTATTTTGTGGTCACTTTGGGTAAAAACTTTCTTAAATTCTTCTTAACTCACTTCTCTTCTCAACCGCCTCCAATCACAATATCTACTGATTTCAAATCCTTTAAATTCCATAAACTCTCAGTCTTTTTCCTTTGGCCATGTTTCTGATACAGGACCATCGATACCATCTTGACACTTTCCAGTCCTTTTTTCTTTCTCCCTCATTAGCACAACGAAGTCCTTATGGCTGAAGTGGAAAGCAATAATGCTTTCTTCTTAGGCCAGTGTGGGACTGGGTTAGTTGGAGGATTATAAACACATAATTTAACATCATTTTTATCCCGTACTTACATGTAATAGGTTTTTGAATTTAAAAAATGCTTCAGAGGCACTTGACTGGGTTATAAATTACTTCTCTATGATTTCAGACAGTGTGAGCAGAGAGCACCGCCTGCTGCACTGTGTTCAGTGGAAACCACTCTTCACTTTGACTCAGAAGATCCAGGTCTGTGGTCCAGCTCTGCTGCTTAGTTAGCAGGTCATGTAGTCTCTGGGACAGGTCACACTGTGTGATGGTTGAATTGGATGGCGTTAACTTGATTGGCTTGGGAGCTGTCCAGGGGGTTGGTGGAGCACACTTCTGACTCTGTCTGGGTGTAGCACAGAGGTGTAACTGTATTTGATCCATTTCCCCTTCTCGTCCGGCACCATTTCCCTGATTGACTTCCAATTTGCCATGAGGTGAGCAGCTTCCCTCTCCCACACCTTTCCGCCGTGATGGTTCTGCCTTGGAGCAAACCAGCCATGGACAGAATCCCCTGAAACTGTGATCCAACTCAACTTCTCAAGTTGTGGGTGACTGATATTATGCCTCAGCCATGGGATGGCTGACTAATAGAGGCTGAGTTTCCTTCAGGCTCTAAGATAGAAATGTGACAAGTTCTTCCTGACAGAATGCTTGAGAAAACACATAGGAAGCTATATATGGTCTTTGGTATTCTCTCCTTTTTACTATTTCTTTTTGCGTTGCTGGGGTATTGGTTCCTGTAAATCTGAACCTTTCATAGACTCTACATGCACAGGTACTAAAATACACACATAAACAGCACTCAGCACCACCCAGTTTTGGCGGACTGACCGTCACATTATGAGCTACCAGCAAATGCTCCAATAAGGCTGAGAAAGCCATAAGTTTTCTTTTGAGCTAGAATGTCTAAACGAAGTTTGCAAGATAACCTCCTGCAAAGCTCTCATTTTACAGGGGAGAAACTGAGGCCCAGATTGCCCTTGCTTCCTACATCTCATGAGTATTTGCAAACCAGGACTGGAACCCAGTTGGTTAAACATTGGGCAGGCCCTCTGTGAGCAGACCCAGCTATTATATCGATCCCCGGGGATTCTTTTGATTACAGTGAGAAAACTTCATAGACAATTTGCATTTTAGCTCTAGGGGAGCAAATTTTGCTCCATGAAATCAAATTTACTGTTGTATGTGTACCTCACATCTAGCACAGTGCCTGATATATAGCAGGGACCTAATAATTACGCATGACTAAATGCCTTAGAAAGGCAGCACCAAGATGTGGCTAATAATGATTTTAATAGAATGACCACTTATGTTCCTAATTGTATTCTTTACTTTTACTAGTATTATATATATATATAATTTATTGTTAATCATTAGCAACTCAGTTGTACACACTTTTTCATACTAGTTATTTTCTTTCTCTGTACTTCCATAAGGACTACTATAGTCAGCGGTACCTGGAATCATTAGCATAAGTCCCATGAGTAGCCTGTGGGGGTAATATCAATGCTACTTTAACTCAATGGTAATGAACATTTCTTCTTATTTGACTTTTAAATATAGCACGGTTTCAACCACATTCTCTAAGCTAATCTTTGGCAAAATGAGGGGTGAGAGTGGGTGAATGCTGTTTCTCTACCTTCTTTTGTCCCGTGGGACCCTCTTTCTCCAACATGTTCAATCATTTATGCTTGCCTTGTCTCTCCCTACTTTTGCACAGGGCCTTATAAACTTATGTCTCTCTATAAACTTATAGAGAAAATCCTTAGAAAGCAGGAACACTAAAGAGGGTTTTAAAACATTAAAGAATTTGATATTTTAATTTTTCAAAAACTTTCAAACTAGGAATCCATTGGAAAAATCAGAATATTTTTGGACTCCTTCACACATGGCTTAGAGTTTTTACTTTTTATTTCATATGGAAACAACATAATCATTTCAAAGCTTCTCTACAACAACTTCATAAAATTTGTATACTTCCTGTGTCTAAGACAAGTATTTTACTCTCTTTCTTCCAAGTCCCCTATCTCTCCTCTTCCCACAATCTGGAGGAGGAGCTTGAGACACACGTCACAGGAAACAGAAGCTTTCCAATACAAAAATGTATTACTTTATCAACTGGCTTTATCAAATCTTATTTTGTGTATGCTGTAAGTATCCCTGGGCCATTTTCCTACAGTTAATCTCTCCTTTACTACAATATCAATTTGTGTTCTACTGTCTCCCTGTATTCACCATTCCATGCCTCTGTCCATTTTGACAGCAGCACACCTTACAGGATTTGTCCATGTTTTCTGATTTCACTCTCTCCTCAGTTTTTCCAAGACCACTCTGAACAAGTTGTACCCATTTACTCTATTGAAAGGGCTCTTATCCATGTCACTGCTATCATCCCAACTGATAAACTCAAGAGTCAATTCTCTGTTTTTATCTTATTCAAACTCTCAACCGAATTTATTCTTTCCATCCATTCTTTCCTTTCAAATCCATGGTGCCACTGTCTCCTGATTTTTGTCCTGCTCCTGTAGCCATTCTCTCTTTGTCAATTTTGCTGGATCTTCTCCATTCAGTCTCTCATATTGGACATCTTAATGATTCCTGTTACTTCTTCACCTGCTCTCTTCATAGGAAAACTTACTTCCATGCTGTTACTTCCCCAATCCCAGGTATAATGTATCTATCTATCTATCTATCTATCTATCTATCTATCTATCTATACCTATAATCTGTATTACTGAAATGACTTTCTAACTAGTTTTGTTACTTCCACATTATGTCTTTTGATTGTTTACATAGCAGCCAGATTCAGTTTTAAAAATATATATAAATTAAATCATGTCATTTCTCTGCATTAATCTCTTTAATGGCTTCTCATTTCACTTTGAAAAAATTGTAAGCACCTTATTTTTATAACACAAATGCATACAACTTAATTCTATCCACAAGTAAAGTATATCACCACTAGACCTTTGGATTTACATTAAGGAATTCATTCCACTACAGATTTCCTGGATTTATATTTTTCATAAATGTTTAGTTGTTCTGTGCAAAATTGCAATAAAGGTTAGGAAAGTTACTATGATTGCTATTATATATCAACTGAATTGTGATGTCTTTATATTGGATTTTATAGGTCTTGTTTCCAACTAGGCTTTGACTCATTACTATAATTCACAGAAGAACAAGGAAAAATGTAAACAGGAAATACTAACAATATCTTTCTACTGCAGAATTACATAGTGGTACCATTACTCTGAGAAAATCGTTAAAAGCTAAAGATATCTTTGAACAGTATTGTTAGAAAATTTTACTGGTGTCATTTTTCTGACAAATTACTTAAAATTTGCCTATTGTATTGTTCAGCTGAAACATATTCCTTGAAACACTGAAAGATAATGCCCTGTTACGATTAAAAGGAGAAAGATTCACAAAAGGGGAGATAATGATCACTATTAAAATTCTAGGAGCAGATTAAATATGAAATAAATTCAGATGCTTAAATGCTCAATTTCAAAGGTAGCACACCCTCTAGTTTTCTTTCTAATGTCCATTGTCTATAGACTCTGAAAGACATCTTAGTTTTTCTTATGACTTCATTTTCTTGATTTTAACGCAAAGCCTCTGTCCTCTGACTAAATTTTGAATGAAAATTCATACACTAAAACAAGTTCTGAAAGGTTCAAGTTTAAAAACATTTTCAGAAAAAAATCTAAAATTTCCTTTGGAAGCATGTTTAAAGTGTAAAAGCTTATCTTTTACTGTTATTCCTAATTTTGAATAGCATGGAATTTAAGATCTGTGTTTGTCCTCAAATTTAAACATCTGTGTATAAATAAAGGAGAGCTATGCAGGAAGATAGCTGTTTCAATAATTTTCATATATCAATTCAGTCTTGTACTTAGATTATACAGGGACAAAAAGATAAAACTCACATTTGGGACTTGGGAAGTACACTTAGAGAATATATTGTGAGTGTCATGAAACTAAGTAGCCTTAGTTATGAACTTTTAAGCCTTATGTTTACTGAAAGCTGGTCTTTACATCTTTACTTCCTTCTGTTGAAAAACATGGGAGAGCAAATGCGTTTATATCTGTACTTATACACATCTATATGAATAAAAAGCTGGATTTCATTAGGTTCAACTTTTAAATAGAATATCCAAGGCTCATATCTATGGGCAGGGATGTAGCATAGTGGAAATGCACTTGACTAGCATGATTAAGACCTTGGTCAAGCTCATCTCTAACACTGCAGACAAGCAAGCAAACAACAAACCAATTTTTCCTTTCCTTGAGCATACTGTCTTAGTCACTTTCTGGGTCCTGGGACAAAATACCCAACGGCATGACTTAAAGGAGGAGAGGCTTATTTTGGCTTGGTGTTTTAGAAGGTGCAAGCCATGGTTGTCAGGCTTAAATGCAGAGATGGCATGGTGGAAGGGCTCACTGTGGGGAAAGCTGCTCATATCGTGGAGTCAGGAAGCAGAAAGAAGACAGGAGCTGGGAAGACAGTACACACCTTTATAGGTCATGGCCTCATGACCTGTCTCTAACCGGGCCCCAGAGCCTTTCTAACAGTAAGTCAGCTGAAAGTCATTAGTGGACAGATTTACTGATGGTGTAGCATACTCCATGATCCAAGCAGCTTCCAAACACATGAGGCTTTGGGGGGACACCCCAGATCTAAACCGTAGCACAGCCTCTGGGCAAGATGTTGAGGCACACAAGGAATATTTATGTCCAGCTCCAAGAAAGATTCTGAGTCATAATTGGAGCATGACTCTGTTAAGGTCTTGGACTAGGTCTAAAAAAATCCTCAGTGCTAAAATATTCATTTGGATGCCACACATCACCCTATCTGATGCATAATTG